GGAGCACACCTGCACTCCCTTTCGGCCCAGGGCGTTTGGTCGGCCACTGAACAGCGTTGCAGCATCAATTGGTTGGAGCTTCACGCGGTGTACTTGGCCCTGAAGGCCTTCCTACCACAGGTACTAAAAAACCACGTACTAGTCCTCACCGACAACACCACAACCAAGGCGCATATCAACCGCCAAGGGGGCACTCACTCTCTTCGCCTCATGAGGGAGGCCGAGCGTCTGTGTCGATGGTCAGAAACACATCTTCTATCTATCAGAGCGGAGCACATTTCGGGAGCCTCGAACGTGCACGCGGATTGGCTCAGCAGGGCCGTGTTGGACCAAGCGGAATGGCGCCTTCATCCTCTTCTGTTCAAGGAGGCAGCGACCATCTTCGGCCGGCCTCTGGTAGACCTATTCGCTTCTCCGCACAACGCTCAGACACCAAGGTTTTTCTCCCGATACCCCACCAACGGAGCAGAGAATTACGATGCCCTGCATTGCTCCTGGCCTCCCGGTCTTCTATATGCCTTTCCTCCTCTTCTGTTAATCCCCAAGGTGATTCGGAAACTGGTTCTAGAGAAGGCGGAGATTCTCCTGGTGGCACCGTATTGGCCCAGGAGACCGTGGTTCGCGGACCTTCGCGACCTGTCACTGGCCCCTCCATGGAGGATTCCACGGGACAAAATCTCCCTGTCCCAAGGCCCTCTCCTCCACCCAGATCTACAGTGGCTTCAGTTAGCCGTTTGGAGGTTGAGCGGGAAAAACTAAAGGCAGAGGGTCTTTTGGCCCAGGTCATCACTACCATTATGGCAGCTAGGCGCCCTTCCACCACTCGCATTTATAATGCAACCTGGAACAGTTTTTCCAAATGGTGCCGTCAATCTTCTATCAATCCGCTCTCCCCTTCCATTGCGCAGGTTCTGGCTTTCCTGCAAGACGGCCTGGACAAGGGTCTTTCCCCCAACACTCTGAGAAGGCAGGTCTCGTCTCTTTCAACGGTGGTTCCTGGCGACTCGTCTGCACCACTCTCCCACCATCCTCGTATCAGGGCCTTTCTCAGGGGAGCTTCCAACCTACGCCCCCCAATGGTTCATAGATACCCGACTTGGGACCTTAATAAGGTCTTGACGGCGTTGACCAAGCCTCCCTTCGAGCCTCTCAGGGAAACTTCGCTTCAGTATCTCACCCTTAAAGTGGTGTTCCTCGTGGCAATCACTTCAGCAAGAAGGATATCTGAAATTGCAGCTCTATCCGTCAGAAAGGACCTGTGCAATTTCCATCCTGATCGGGTGGTTTTAAGGCCTGACCCTGTCTTTATGCCAAAGATCAATTCGGCCTTTCACAGAGCACAGGAATTGGTCCTGCCTAACTTTTGTCCGAAGCCTGTGCGGGAGAAGGAATGGCAGTGGCACACTCTCGATGTGCGCAGAGCTCTCCGTATATACATCCATCGAACTCAGCCTATCAGAAAGTCTGAGTCACTTTTCCTTTCCTTTCAGCCGAAGACGCTGGGTTGCAAAGTCTCCCCGTCTACTGTAGGCCGCTGGATCAGGGCTACCATTTCTAAGGCCTATTTGGCCCAAGCTCTGCTGGTTCCTAGTGGGATAACTGCTCACTCTACCAGGAGTGCGGCTACTTCGGTAGCCTGGGCCACCCAGGCTTCCATCCATAACATCTGTAGGGCGGCCACCAGGGCTTCCCCATCTCCCTTTATACGACACTACAGAATTGACACTTATGCCTCCGCTGAGGCATCCTTTGGTAGGCGAGTTCTTCAACAGGTGGCGAGAGAGCCAGAGGAGATTCCGACCCAGACGGAGTCCCGCCCGTAGGACAACATGCTTTGGTATGTCCCACTCTTTGGATGCTCGCAGCAGTTCTACAGAGAATGGGCGTTGGTTCTTACCTGATACGCCTCTTCTCGTGGAACTGCGTAGAGCATCCAGCCCCTCCCTTCTTATTCCGTCTGGTAGGGAATCCTGTTTCGGCCAATGATCTTGTTTATTGTTGTTGAAAGTTGTTTTTTCTAGTTAAGTTAGAGGATTGTTCTTGTCCTCTCGTCTTCGTAAAACTGGGGGAACGCAAGGAGGAGTCACGTGGCGGAAGAGGGCGTTCCCTCAATTATAGCTCAGCCTGTACGACATGAGACTGGAGCACCTCCCCCACTCTCTGGATGCTCTACGCAGTTCCACGAGAAGAGGCGTATCAGGTAAGAACCAACGCCCATTTACATATACATTTGTCAGAGTTATATCCATATTAAAAGTATATCTTAAATATTAAAAATATTATGAAATTAGTTCTAAACCGCATAATGCATCTGCATCTAGATTTTCAGTTTGATCATTGGAACTGAGAAAAAGTGAGGTCCTATAACCTATCACCAAAATAAATATCATAATAATCTGCTGACAGATACGAGACCATATGAAATACTTGGTCCACTTAGCTCTAAAATGGGCAAGAAGAACTAAGAACATCAGATATTGTTGCTTCTGATTCTTTTCCCTAGACCTACGCCTTGCTCTCTGCTGGGGAACTTCAGCTTATCCGGCAAACGCTGCTCATCTTTTTCCAGGACATACATATCAGGGTAGGCATAGGACACATTACTTCCATGAGGGTGATGATGGTAAAAGAAAAATGTTTAGCATAAGTGATTTCCAAGTGAAACAGCTTTATTGACAAGTCTTGGTATTTCTTCATAGGTTTCCATTCTCTTAAAAGATAAAGTGCAGAATTCCAACGGCCATTTTGTGCTTCCCACCTCAACTTCAGTTCCTTGGGGGACAGAGATCCCTGGACTCATTAGGTGAATCCTTTGACTTGCCTTTTTCCTTAACTATCCAACTGGATCAGGTGCTGATCACCAGTCCAAATGGATGTGGATCCCCAGCCACTTACTGCAGGCTGTCCTTTGGGGGATAACAAGTGTTTACAAGGTTGGGTTGATGAGAGAATTGCTCCGTCCCCAAACTCTCCTATCTATTGTATAAGAGAAAAACGAAATGGTATTTACACTTTACAATGTTACAGACTTTTTAACAATAAAGGAGATGAAATTCAGAGGATCGAGTTCAGCAGTGGAGGAAATTATGTTCTTCCGTATCGGGAAGGCTCATTTGACCTTCATGGAGACAGAGTCATTAGACTGGGAACAAACATGTAAGTCATGGTCTTCAGAATTTCAGTTTAGAGCTTTCAACAACTTTCCTGTGTCCCTCTTATGTAGATAAATTCAATTCACTCTAGATACAGCATCAGCCGGCCTGTAGAGACAGATGTATCAGGGGCCACCAAAAACTTGGCATCTCATGTTAAGGTCAGTGTCTTTGATTTACCCTCAGAAACACAGAGCAGGGCTGCTGTTTTGCCTCATTTCTATTCATTTGTGTTTCCAGATTAATATCCTAAATCCCTAGATTGTTCCAGATAAAAGCTATTTGTTCAGAGTATTCTGCAGAACTTCTTTTTAATTTTGATTTCATGTTTCTTCTGTTGGGATCTGACTATATCTATTGCAACTACTGTAAAGATGGATTCTGCTTTCCTCCAGGGCTACTTATTAAGTGAAGGAGGACAGGGGAGTGGTATTTCAAGCCGCCTGATTTCCAGATAGGAGAAACTGGGAAGGAGTAATTAGCACCAATAACATTTCACAGTAGTTCAGATTGTGTAACTTACGTGTTTCTTTCCATAGCTCTTACAAATGTTGTTGTTAATGCAGGAAAACACTGCTCCCAACCCTCTTGCTAAAGAAGAGTTGAATTTATTAGCCAGGCTGATGGGTGGCTTGGAGATCAAGAAGCCCCTAGTCAAGGAAGCGGGTTTTCGTCTGAATCTTTTCACCACTGACGAGGAGGAAGAGTATGATGCTTGACTTTCAATGGTAGTAGCAATGGGGGTGGGTCTTCCATATATCCAGAGTTGCCTTGGCCTTTGAAGTATCAGAGGTCATACTCCAGAAGTGAGTTAGTGATAAAAAGTCAATACATGGAGATAGATTAATTAATTGTATTTACTCTGATCTCTTAAGACACGCTGCCCTGACTCGTCCAGAGGAGTTATCCTATCAAGTTGTCAATATCCATGCAGACCAGGTAGATATTCATTGCTGCGTCTTATTTCTTCAAAAAATGAGATTTTCTTTTAACTGGACCAATTTCCATTTGTATATGTAAGCTTTTAAGTTTCATATACCTCTTAATGTTTCTGTTCCAGTTAATAAACATACAAAAACAAGACAGCACACATCATCAGAAATACTGTACTATATTTGTGGATTAGTCTGAAAATAATTTTTCTGTGCAAAATAGTTAGAAGCTTCCATGGACCCACATGCAGACCAAAGCCAGTCCCGATCAGTTGTTCCTTGTGATTGACGTTCAATGAAATATAGCAATGTTCCTAAACATAACAAATCATTATAACTCATAGTCATTGAGAGGCCCCAACTTCTCCATGGCTTTTAAGAAAAGTGGAGGAGGAAAAACTGAGGGAGGTCAATTATGCAGGACTTTTGGAAGTATGTTTTAATAAGCTAGATTAAAGGAAGACAGCACACCATGGCTCAAAATCCTATCAGATAAATAAGTCTGGAATAGATCATGAAAAACAAAATATTAAAAGTGTACACATAAATAATTCATTTCTGTGAAAAAGAAAATGAGAAGTGTTAAGAATCCATTATGGATGACTCATGAGCTCACTGACAAATTGAAAAGCAGAAAGGATATAAAGGAAATGGAAGTAAAGACTAATAATTAAGGATGGTATATTAGAGCCCTTCCTAACACAATCAAGGAAATGGAGGTAGGAAGTGTAGCTCAGGATTGATGAAGATATAAAGATTGACTTTCTTTCCTAAACAAGTTTAAATCTTCAGGATCTGATCAGGAGCATTCATAGCAAGCCACAGCAATGCCAAAATATTGACATGCACGCACACACACACATCCACATGTACATTCTGAGTCTGACATACTGTAAGTGCAGAAGTTGAAGAATTTATGTGATGTCATAACGCACATTCCTCGACAAGTTACATCTTGAGATGCTGGAAGGAGGCAGTAGACCAGTCCTTCAGTAGGCTAAGAGATTGCTGTGAATGTAATGTATCTAAAGTCTCCTCTGATATCCTTGTGATTGAGATGGATCAAATGTAGGTACTGCTGTCCGATATAGTTAGAGTTGCTTAACTCACTACACAGAGAAGATACTAGTAAATGATTTTGCATCAGATGTGGCTAATCTGAGTCCATCCATGGCCTAGTGCTATTCAACATTTTTTAAAATGGTCTAAGGCAGAGGTCTCCAAACTTGGCAACTTTAAGACTTGTGGACTTCAACTCCCAGAATTCTCCAGCCAGCTATACTGAAGTCCACAAGTCTTAAAGTTGCCAAAGTTGCCAAGTGGCCTAAGGGGTGGAATGGAAGCTTATCAGATCTGTAAAGGTGACTGAAGTCAGAATTTAAATTCAGATGATCTCCCACAAAGAATGCCCGCGTGTGAGAAACTGCTTCTGGCTAACTGAACATTAACAGTGCAATGCAACAACTAAAATTTATTTGATTCTTTTTGTTAGTTTTTATTATGTTTTTTTATATATTTTTTGTTTTAAATATGGTTTTACATTGTGTAAGCCGCCTCGAGTCGCCATGGGCGAATAGGCAGCAATATAAATTAAGTAAGTAAGTAAATAAATATGTCTTAAACTGAATTCACAAATGTTGTAGCAGTCCCCCAACTTTCACAATTTAGACCTTGGGAGACTTGGATTCTGTTCTGGGCATTAGGAAATCAGCATGAATTTCGAGAAAGCTCCTAGGATTAAAGGGATCTGGAAACAAACGTGAGGAATGGCTAAAGAAATTGTTATTTCGCTGATAAAAGAAAAGATTAACAGATTAACAGAATTGGAAGGGACCTTGTAGGTCATCTAGTCCTTCAGTTCTTCTTGAAAGCTTCCATTAATGAAGCTCCCACAACTTCCGAGGGCAAGCTGTTCCATTGGTTGATTGTTCTGTTAGAAAATTTTTCCTTATTTCCAGGTTGAATCTCCTTGTTCAGTTTCCATCCATTATTCCTTGTCTGGCCTACAAGTGCTTTGGAGAATAGCTTAACCTCCTCCTCCTCTCTGGGGCAGCCCCTCAGATATTGGAACACTGCTCTCATGTCTCCCCTGGTCCTTCTCTTCACTAGACTAGCCAAGCCCAGTTCCTGTAACTGTTCTTCATATGTTTTAGTCTCCAATCTCCTAATCATTTTGGTTGCTGTTCTCTGCACTCTTTCTGGAGTCTCAACATCTTTTTATAGTGTGGTGACCAAAACTCTAGGTGTAGTCTTACTAAGGCTTTATGGAGTGGTATTAGTACCTCCCTTGATCTTGATTGTATCCCTCTGTTAATGCAGCTTAGGATTGCATTGGCTTTTTTGGCTGCCACTGCACACAGCTAGCTCATATTTAGCTGGTTGTCCACTAAGACTCCAAGATCCCTCTCACAGTTACTGCTGTTAAGCCTGGTTTCATCCAATCTATGTATGTGCTTTTGGTTTTTCTTGCCTAAGTGTAGGACTTTACTTTTCTCTATATTGAATTTCATTTTATTAGATATGGCCCAATGTTCTAGTCTGTCAAGATCCATCTGGATCTTGAGCCTATCTTCTTGGGTGTTAGCTATTCCTGCCAGCTTAGTATCATCTGCAAATTTGGTAAGTTCCCCTTCTATTCCCTCATCTAAGTCGTGTATGAAGATATTGAAGAGTACTGGGCCTAAGACGGAACCTTGTGGCACCCCACTGCTTACTTCCCTCCATGTAGACTTAGATCCATTAAGGACTACTCATTGAGTACAGTTTGTCAGTCAAATCCAACTGGAGGTGATTCTATCTATCCCATTTTTTTCTAGCTTCCCAAGAAGTAGGTTGTGGTCTACTTTGTCGAATGCCTTGCTGAAGTCTAAATTCTTAAAGGTTAGCTTAAGTGCTCAGTGTAGGATTTTCTACATCTTATTTCACAGATTATCATATAGTTGTTGTTTGAAATCAAACATAGTGAACTGTCTTTGGATATGATCATTCAACCAAGTGCATCTAATTAATCTTCTAGTCCATATTTTACTGAGAACATCTTGAGACTATCAAAAATATGCTACTCTTACATTATTCTTCACTAATACTGTAATAAAAAGTTATTGTGAATGGGGGGAGGATAGACATGCTGAAAATACAAATAAATATTAACAGCTCAAAATTAAAGGAAATTAAGACTGAATATTAGGAAGAATTTTCTAAGTATCAGCTTACTACAGTGGATTGATTTTTTTAAAGAGCTGTTTTGTTCAAATGAGATGTTTTGAATCCATAGATTTTCAGTCATACTCTGTTAAGGTAATATTGTATTTTATCCACACTTCTGTTCTTAAATAAATACTTGCTTGCAACATTTATTGAAACAGGACCAGCAACGGAACGAGGAGCTGGATCGCATCATGGGGGAATTTGAGATGTTGGAACAGCACAGTGAGACAAGCAGCAAGGAATGTGATTTGTTGGCAATGATGGATAAGCTATAACCCTTAGCTCTGAAGAGACACGCAGCTTTAATGCAAAGGCGTGTTTGGTCACCCAGCTTGATGTTAGAAGATCTAAGTCAGATAGAATACAATGGATTCTTCAGCTATCCATTTTCTGTTAGGACATTTGGGAACTGTCTGAGATCTATCTACAGTTCTTTTCTCTGGCATTAGGGAAATGTGGGCACAAGTGTGGGAGGACATTCTACTGGATAGTAGTTTTGTTCCTGTACCGTTAATGATTCTGCTCATGTTAGCTATTGTTAAAAAGAAAGCCCATAAATCCCCAGGTAAGTTGTGTAAATAAAAATACATACTATGAAGTAACAATTTATGTTACCGTAAAAGCTAAGTTTACAATTATATTGCAGCTATTCTTTTTAGCTGCAACTGTAAATAAGACAAGCTTGTTTAACTGCAGTGCTCACAAGTTTTTGTAATCAAAACCCGATTAAAGAAAGTTACTGTTCTCCCAGAGCTGCCTGACTCCTGGATGCACATTTCATCTTGGTACCCTATAATTGGTTAGAGTTCACCTGGTGGTTACGTTTCTTCCCAGTGGATGGCAGAGGGTGGCAGGGAAAAAGGAAGGCAGGGAATCCACCGATTGTTGCCCTGAAATTGACCCACATTAAAAATTATGGGGCCACCTGGTTGCTCACCCTCTTTGTGAGGTGCAGTAAAGCTCAGTACAATTTACATTATATGCTAATTCGAAGATGGGAAGAAAACACAAAAAATGGCCACCTTGCCAGAGTACAAAGACCTTCCCTACAAACTTACTCTTTGCCAAGAACATCATCTGTCCACTACTAAAGGGGATCAAAAATGGTTTTAAGTGTCCCAGGGTGGAAGTGGTGTTTCCATGTAATGCTGGCCTAAGGCATCCCATGCAGACAATCTTGGTCTCCCGGAGGAGGGGTGAGGTGGGGCTTCCTGCTTTGACCCAAAGTGATCCGGCTGGTCTGCTGTGCATCAGCTCCATCTACCTGGCCATGGATTCTGCATGTCTGTTGCAAAGCTGCTGAGTCACAGAAAAGAGTAAAGGCCAGTTTCTGCAGTGACCTTCCAAAGTTGTCTGATGTGCACACCAAGAGCCACTGCTCCTCTGAAGACCAGATCCATTTATGTCGCACTGCACAGAGGACCGGTGGGGGGGAGGTTGTTGTATAAGTAGGCCAGAGGATAGGCAGATAGCCATTTATAGGGGGGCAAGGGAGATTGCTTCTGGCCCAGTCAGCGTCAGTGGGTAAATGCTGTTGCCAACAGAAGGGCCAGAGCAGAAATAACAATAACACGTTTGGAAGGGACCGTGGAGGTCTGCTAGTCTAACCCCCTGCTCAAGGCAGGAGGCCCTATATCATTTCAGACAAATGGCTGTCTCTTATGGAAAACCTCCAGTGATGGAGCCCCCACAACATCAAGAGGGCAGCTAATAGTTTTAACTGTGAAGCAATTTCTCATTTCCAAGTTGAATTTCCCTTTGATGAGCTTCCACCCATTGCTTCTTGTCCTCAAGTGTTTTAGAGCAGGGGTCCCCAACCACCGGTCACCGGTCCGCGGAACAAGTCCTACCGGGCCGCTGGCTTGCTGGGCGCCGCCATCTTTTTTTGATGAAAAAGTGCTTCCGGTGAGCTTTTCCGGGTAGAAAGCTCACCGGAAGCACTTTTTCATCAAAAAAAGATGGCGGCGCCCAGCTAATGCCGGTACCGGGCCGCGCCATAAAAAAGGTTGGGGATACCGGGCCGCGGCGTAAAAAAGGTTGGGAATCACTGTTTTAGAGAATAGGTGACCTCCCCTTTTCTCCGTGACAGTGTCACACCTGCCCCAATTTGGGTCCTTGGGAAAGAGACCCTCAACTCCATTTGTGTGAAAGGTATACTTTTACTAAAAGCCAAGTGGTTACAGTACAGCAAAGTCAGATCTGAAAGTTTCTGCCCAAAGGTTCCCCAGTTAACTTTCCCTTTTCTGTTCCTCTCCTCTGTTATCTCCCCATTATCCAGTCATATTTGAATACATTTCTATGGAGATTCTCAGTCCTCCAGGTTGTCCCAAAGAAGCTTTTTTTCAAGAGGCAACTGGATTTTCTTGTTTTTCTTTGAAGATGTTTCGCTTCAAAGAAAAACAAGAAAATCCAGTTGTCTCTTGAAAAAAGCACCTTTGGGACCTTTGAATAAGTTGTTTTGGTAATGGTCCCAGCAACAGGAGCAGGAGTTAGATGGTGAACCGTCACGTTCCATGATTCCCAGGCGCCTGGCCTTGGGACAATTAGCTAATGCCTGGAGAAGGCACAATGAGTGGCTTCTGTTTCCTTCTCTCCAGCAGCTCCTTGTCCGTCTGTCTGCCCCCCTCCCTGCTCAGTTTATGGCAGGCTGGCATCTAGCAAAGCAAGGTTGAAGCGCAGGATGGCAAGTCCGGCAGTCTGCTGCTTCTCAAGCACCGCAGGGCTGCCATCACGTCCCTTTTGTTTGACCTACCTAGTTCCCACAGTCCGTCAGCCTTACGGTTTAGCCTCCAGGCCCCTAACCATCTCTGTTGCTCTTCTCTGCAGTTTCTAGGGCCCCAGCATTGTGACCAAAACTGAATGCAGTACTTCAAGTGTGACCTTACCAGTGCAGTATAAAGCAGCAGGTCAGGTAGTCCTCAACTTACAATAATTTGTTTAATGACTACTCAAAAGTTACAACAGCACTGAAAAAATTAACGTACGTTTTTCACACTTATGACCATTGCAGCGTCTCCGTGATCATGTTATCGAGATTCAGATGCTTGGCAACTGACTTGTACTTATGACGGTCGCTGTGTCCTGGGACCACGTGATCACCTTTTGTGACCTGACAAAGTCAATGGGGGAAGCAGATTCACCTAACAGCCCCGTTACTGTTTTAACTGCAACTATTCACTTAACAATGGTGGCAAGAAAGATGGCAAAATGGGGCGAAATTCACTTAACAAACATCTCGCTTAGCAACAGAAATTTTGGGCTCGCTTGTGGTCACAAGTCGAGGAGTCCCTGACCTAACATCTCTCGTGGTCTTGAAGCTCCCCTTCGGTCGGTGCAACCCAGGCCTGTGCTGGCCTTTCCGGCAGCCACTGCTGGCTCGCAATTAAGCGGCTGTCCACTAGGACGGGACCCCCCCGCGATCCCAGCCCATTCGGAACCGGGCCGCGTGGGCGGTGGGTGCCCCGCGCACAAAACCATTCCCCCACCACCAGCGCCGCCAACCAGGAAAGGCTGGGGAAGGCCGTGCAGGAGTTTGGTTCTCCACCCCCCGCTGGGAAAACCTCCCCTTCCTCCCCCCCCCGAGCTGCCTTTGGCGGGATATGGACCCACTTCAGAAATCACTGACCAGGCGCCCCCTCCTCCCCCCTCCCGTTGGGCTCCGTCGCCGGACAGCCCCATCCTGTCGCAAAATCGCAGGCACCGCGCGGACCATCGCGGCCGCCGTAGGCCGAGACGCGCCATCGGCGGGATGAAGGGGGAGGGAGCTCCTCTTCCGGGGTCCAACATCCGGTCCAGCAATTCCTGCCTCCTTCACGCAGCCGGGCCAATGGCAGCGCTCCAACGCGAGTGGAAGAACTCTGACCGGCCAATGACATCGCGGCTTTGGAGGCTGGGCCTCGTCCGGCTCTTTTGAAGCCGGCCGGGGTCGGCCGGCCCTTCCTTCCGAGGCGAGCGGGGCAGGGAGGCGCGGCCGTTCGCAAGAGGGAGTGCTAGAAAGCGGGGCCGGAATGCGGGCCCCGCGGCCTTCCGGCTGAGCCGCGCTCCGGGCCGCCATGGAGATCAGCCACTCGGTGAGGGAGCGCACCATCGCGGAGAACAGCCTGGTGCTGCTCCTGCAGGGCCTGCACAGCCGCATCACCACCGTGGAGCTGCGCGACGAGAGCGTGGCCGTGGGCCGCATCGTCAACGTGGACGCCTTCATGAACGTCCGCCTGGGCGAGGCCACCTTCACCGACCGCCGCGGCCGCGCTTGCCGCCTGCAGGAGCTCTTCATCACCGGCAGGAACGTCCGCTACGTCCACATCCCGGACGAGGTGGACATCCGGGCCACGATCGAGCAGCAGCTGCAGCTCATCCACCGCGTGCGCACCTTCGGCGGCCGAGGCAAGGGCAGGACCGAGTTCCTTCGGGCAAAGCCAGCGGGCAAGTGAGCGGCCCGGCGGGCAGTCGGAGCCACGGGGCAGCCGGCGCTGGAAACCTGCTTGCTCCCGGAGACCCGTCGCTTGCTTGGGAAAGCCGTGGCGGCTTCCCCCGCTCCGGTTCAAAGGGGAATCGGATGGTGACTTTCCTTTGCCAGAATATAAACCTCCGCCTGCCAATAAGAAGGAGGTTTTCGGAGGCTTTTCTGTTTACATTCTTTCCCCCCTGAGCTGCTTTTCCCGCTCAAGAATAAACTTACAAGCTTTAAAATTCAGCCTGCTGAAAGAAATCCAGACTGCCTGTTGGAGCTCTGTATGCCGATGCTTTTGGATTACAGTAATCTGTAGTCAGAAACGAAAACTGATTTTGCACCTAATGGGTTGGATTTTCTGGAGCTTTTTGTATTAATTTGTTAAGTAAAGGATGGTGAGCAAAATGTCCCTCTTTTATCTGGGGAAAACCCAGACACACAAAAATGAAACAGTCCAGAATTCCAGGGCTGGTTCTTCACATTACTTCTTTATGGTCCCTGGCCTGTAAAAAAAAACTGCCTAAAAAGAATGAGGTTCAAAACCATGCCATTTTTGCATATTTGAAGGCTGGGCTCATACAACACACTAGTCCTAGCAAAAACAGATGGTAGTGGGTGCCCGTAATTCAGTATGATATAGCAATACCATTCTATTAGGCCATAATTTGAGTTTTTAGGACTGTTACATTTTGTTAACCTGAGTTAGGCTTTGTTGCATTGGGCCAACTCAACCACAGCAGATAGTAGATTGGTAGTAGATTGCTGGAGTAAATATGGGTGGAATTTTGCTTGCAAACAGTCTCATTGAATCTTGCTTGCTTTAGAACTGCCTGCAACTTTGTCTAGGTGTCCCTGCATACACACACTGCAAAAGGGCTGATGGATAACATAGGTTGCAGATGGCTGCATTGTGCACTGCTCCCAAGTCCCAGCTGCACATTGTGTAGAAGTGCACACCCTGAGTGCTGATTGGATGATCCAACTTCCTGTTCTTTGCTATTTGAGCACCCCCTAGCCAGAACATTACATTTGCAGAAATATAAATGGAACATCTATGCAGCTGTCCCCAAATGACAGGTATATGTGTTCCCTGACATACATTCAGTCTCGAACTGGAGTGAGCAGTGAGTTAGCCTGCAATACTGCATTCTAACCACTGTGCCACCACACAGTCTAGGAAGAATTCTACCCCAGAAAAACGAGATTGCTCCGGAATGAAAGCCAGCTGCTTGAAAAGGTTTCCTTTATTGGCAAAGACAAAAGCTACTTCAGCTATCGGTTCTGGGACAGCTGAACGGTTTGGGAAGTTGTTGCCTACTTGAGGTTGTGAGTGGTCCCCAAGGTGCGGGGTAATGCTAATCTTAAATGTTCATTTCCTTGGTCTAATCCTATCAGTTTGATTTAACAAGTTGAGGCTTGCTTCTACTGCATTGCCTATTGCTGCTGCCTCCCTTTCAGAATGAAATGGGGGAGTTCTGGTTTTATAAATGAATAAAACTTTGTTTCTAAAAATGAAACTTAGTTTCATTCATGTTGCTTACTTGAGGCTGTTTCTGGAGGCAGAATCTGAGATCATTCTCCCATTTATTGCTGAATTCCTTTCATAAACTTCAGTGTATTTCTAGAGCTAGAAAAGAGGGGTGAAGGCAAGGGAGAGTCTTACCACAATAATTTGCTTTGGAACCTGAGCCTTATAGATCTTTTCAGTAAATGGAGAATAGCTGAAGTTTTAGTTGCTTTTCATGCCAGAAACCATCAAGTTGGAGGAAACTTGTGAATGCATTTCCTCCACACACATCCCACCTTAGTGCAGATTCCACTAATCCTACTTTAGACACTCACATTTGCTATGCTCTAGACTTTCTCTTCTTATTAATATGACTCAAAAGAGTAATTGACTGAATGAAGTTATTTCACTGAGAGGTGTGGATCCAGATTCCATTTCACATGTTCTACGGTCAAGCCATAGTCTCCCTTGTTTATACCAGGCCAACATTTTTCCTACCCTGATGCAGATAGATTTTTAGAAATACCATCCTATTTATAGTTTGCTAAGTGCCTTAAGTTACTGATTAAAAAGTTGGATAGCAGAACAAAGTACTTTTCCACCCTAACCCCATCTCTTCCCCTCGCTTCACCCTCTAAGAGTTGGTACCAAAAGAGGGCAGCTTCCCCAGAGTGCAGGAGCCCCACTGAAGAGCAACTGCCCTCTAGGAAGGCATCTTCCCTCTGATGACTGATAGCTGTCAGTAACTGGCCTGCAGGGATGAAGTCATAAAGCCATCAGAATTCCCAGGGACATGACCTGCCTCCCTTATCAAAGGGCACCTGTCCTCCACCTTGTGACCTACTGCCATGCCAAGCAAAGGTCCCCAGGAAGCCACCAAACCAATCCCGAAATGTTCCCTGATTGTCATTGTTTGCACAGAAGCCATAGCTCTTTGGGTGTGGACTGCCTCCTTACAGAATGTGATGGCAGGAAAAATGGACATATTTTTGTGAATTATAGGTAAATAGGAAACACTTGAATTTTAAAAAAATCGTCTGAATATCTTTGTAGAATAATTGCTAAAGGTCATAGTCTGAAAGAAAATGACAATGGTCCTAAGATCTAAAAATCTATCCATTTTGTTAAATGGAAATGAGAGAGGAATGCCGTGTGTATGTCAGGAGAGAAAGGAACTAGTGGGAATGAAGCCCTAAGGAGGGCAGCTGGTCAAATGAGAGGGAGAGATAGCCAAGAGCAAATAGCTGATGAACGAAGATCAATCACACACAAAAACCTGCCCGGAAGAAGGAACGTGTTGAAGTGGGCGAGGGAAGTGGGGGAGGGCTGGGACAGGGGAGCAGGAGAGCCCGGGTGCCCTGAACCTCAGGAGAGGATCCCTCCCGAGAGAGGAAAGGAGCCAGGGGTGCAAAGGGGGGGCGGGGGAGAAGTGACACTATTTGACCAGGGTGGAAGAAGCGGGGAGAGGCGGACAGCCAACCGCCTGCTGCGCCCTGGGAGCCGAAGGGAGCTCTCCTCTCGCGGCCTGTCGCTTCCCAACGGCTGCGTTTCTCGGCTCTTCTGCTGCCGGCGGGTCTCTGAACGCGGCCCTCCTTCCAGGGAAATCTGCCCTCCCATAGAATGGAGGCCGCGCAGGCGTTAAGGGCTCCCCCCGCTCCCCCAGGAGGTGCCCGTCAGGAGGCAGGGAAAGCAGCCGATCCAGGGCAAGGACGGCGCCTTCCGCACCGGCTCTCAGAGCGCGGACAGCTGGCGTAACCTTGGGGAGCGCCGCCCTGGAGCCGAACCGCGGCCCATTCTTGCACCGACCGTCGGCCTTTGCCTTGTCTACGGCCCCCTGCCCCAAACGCCCGGCTGGTTGCCCCCGCTCCCTAAAGAGCCTCCCCGGCCTTCCGTTCTTCCTCCCGCCCAGCCACACAACCGGGAGGACATGGGGCAAGTGACGGGTCCGGCCCCGCCGGCAGGCGCCAGAGGAAGCGCTGCGAGCCAGTCCCAGCCTCGGGGCCTGCAGGCGGCGGCTCCTCCCCGCTTTCCCCGGCGGGCCTCGTGACAGGACTCCTTCGCCTGGGCCGCCCCCCCCCCCCCCGGGCCCGCCCCCCCCCCCCAGGGCCCCCCCCCCCCCCCCCCCGCAGCACCGGAAGTCCCCGGACGAAGGAGGCGGGGGGGGGCACGTGCTCGCTCGCCCGGCCAACCCCGGAGGCGGGGCCGGCGTAGCGACGTCCCCTGCGTCACGTCCGCCGTGAGGGGCCGAGGCGGGCGCCCGAGCGGGAGGCGGCCTGGCGAGTGGGGCCGGCGGGGCCAGGGCCGGAGGCAGCGGCGATGGGTGAGAGGGCGCGGGGGCCGGCGGGGCAGGGGGTTCGGCGGCGGTTCCTCCCCCGCGGAGGCCCGAGCGGGGGCGGCCGGCTTCCGTGGCGTCGGGCGCCTCCCTGGGTCGGAGGCGTTCGGCGCTGGCCCGGAACCGAAGCCGAAGCCCGCGGGAGGCAGCGGCGGAGAAGCCCCGAGACCCGGCCCGCCTCCTCTCCCCCGCGGGCCTTGCGGCAGGGGCGGCCCCTCTCCTGGCCAGGCCCGCCTGCAGGAGGACGCGACCCTCCGGGCCCCGGGCGGCCTTTCCCCAAGCGAGGCCCCCGGGCGGCAGCCCTTCAGCCGGGAGAGCGGCGCCCCTGCGGCGGGAGGGGGGCCTGGCGCCTCGCCGAGGGAGGGCGAGCCCCGTCGGCCCGGGGCCTGGCTGGCCGCTGACGGTAAAAGCGGAGGCTCCGCTGCAGCCGCCGGCCTTTGGGGGCGGGGGGGAGCCGGAAGCCCTCCGGGGCCGAGGCTCCGTGGGAGGGTCGGCTTCTAAGGCCAGCGGAAACCGGGCCCGGCTGAGCGGGGGGGGGGGGGCGGGCTCCGAGTGCGGGGCGCCCCCGGCCTTCCCACAAGAGGCGCCGGGGGTGTTGGGGAGCCTCCCAGGCGCTGAGCGGAGGCTCCGCCGGGAGACGGAGAGGCCGAGGGGCGCAGGAGGCGGCGGCGCTGCCTTTGGGGGCGGCGGAAGCGGGGGGGGGGGGGGCAGTTGGCGGAGGCCGTGGCGGTTGCAGGCGGGAGAGCGAAGCGGCGGTTCCAAAACCCGAGACCGGTGGAGTCCAGACGTGGCTATTCACCCGGCTGTGGCCTCTGTTCCCCAGCGGCCTCGGGGGTGACACACCCCGTGGATGGGGAGGCCCCGGTGTCCTTCGGGCTGAGGGGTGGCCAGGCCAAAGCCGCCCCTCTTCCTGCTTGTCTCTCCTGGGGGGCCTTCCAGCCCGGCCCCTGGCAGCCCAGTGTCTCCTTCGAGGCCTCCCGTGATGGGGCGTCCACAGCTCCCAGAGGCAGCTTAGCCCACCTGCTTCTCCTTCTCCTGAGTTCTGGCTTTTGAGGGCTTCAGGCTTTCAGATCGGCTGCTGCTTTTCTGAGGTTGCCTAGCTTTCTTCTGCTCACCTGGCCTCCCTGCCCACCGTGGATTGGAAGAGAACCCTTGTGATGAAGGCAAATATACAGTCCCTGAAGTCCCTGAATAATGTCGCAAGATTGAATCTCGGTCACTTACTACTGGACCAAGATTTACTCTTCCAAGCTTCAGACTCATGCTGGGCAGAAGAGTCCATCTCTGGTCCCAGTGGCCAACCAAGATTTGATCTTGCAACTTTGAGTTTAGTTTGCCAACTGTGTGTTCACATGCAGCTGTAAAACAAGATTGCCTGGAAATGGCCTGGTAAATGAGGTGCATACTTAGAAAACTGATCTTTTGCATCTTGTTCAATATTAAGATGAACAGTAGCAACTTTTCTACCGTCCCATGAAGATTTTAACATATTGTGTCAAGGTGGTTAAATAGGAATCAATGTTATGTCTGTTGTTCAAGGATTTGATAGCTCAGCAGGACTTTTTGCCTTGCCATCCTAGCATGCACTTTTGTATATTTGTCAGAACTGTCCCATTGAATTAATGAGGATTTATTCCTTGATAAATGTATTCCTTTATTTCTTCTTGAGCTGAACTATTTGCTCATCCTGCCAGTATACTAGCAAACCAGTATAGATTCATGGCAAAATACAAATAGAAGTGCACCTTCTACATAATGTAAAATGATGTCAGTGTTAGTTTAAGAAGGACTTTTATTAAGAATATGGGGAAAGTTCTTGAGAACAGCACAGTTCTGCTTTTCTTTCTGATGAATATTTTAATCCCAAGGCCATCCAGAATTTTCACCAACTGTGAGTGAAACTTGATCAAAGTGCAGGTTGGCTTGGCTAGTCAGCAGTGTGGCTCTAGGTGGCATTCTGTCATCGGGAAGGCAGCACATTGTAATAATTGTGTATTCAGAGTTTTACTTCCTGATGAAATATGGCTGTTTTTCTTTTGTCCTTGGGAACATGGCTGTTAGCATGACAAAAAACTGAAGCTAAAATCTAACAAGATGAGGCTGCCCCAACCTGTACTGCTTTTCTGGCCAATTAAAAGTAGAAAAAGTAATTTTGCTCTAGTTCAGGCTAACCTAATTAGGGCTCAGAAATTTAGCAAGGTTGGTGATTACTAGGAAACTCCAACAGTAAAGTTTAAAAACGTTTTGTTTGTGAAGTCAGAATTAAATTGAGGGAAAGGATCCTTTAGGGCATCCCCCCTAAGTGCTTCACAATCCGTAGGGCTTAATCTCAGTTGAGCAAGGAAACTTATTCAGTACACAACACCTGCTTTTGCCAGTGTCGGAACTTAGTGAATCTCGGTTGATTCCAAAAGCAAACTGAATCCGGTCTGGTTAGTCCTTGTGAGGGACCAGGTGGGAACTCCAGGGCCATTGGCAACCAGGGAAGTAGACGGTGACGAAACTGTATGAAGGCAGACCCCAAGAGTCCAGCATGACTTGAAGAAGTCTTTGTCTTTACGGTCCAGCCATGGTTTGCATTGCATTGCTGACAGATGCGTTTGGGCCGGACTCTGTACTGGATTTGACGAAAGCCCTTGGCTCAGTCAGGAACCTTGCTCTGGCAGGAGACCTT